TAGAAAGCGTATATTGTCCTCAAACAAAATAAACCCCCCCATACCAAAGGGAATTCTGGGCAAAGGTTGAGGAAACTATGTACAGAATTGATACTCTGCTAATTTTTTCCATTTAGGTTTCCTCTCTCATACACTCATGCATCCCAATCAAGTTTTCTGTTTTAAAAAAATTAAGTCTTTGAACTTCAACCCACAACACTAAATTATGCAAAGCTAGAAAACTTGTGCTCTCCTTTCTCAGCAGCATATTCTCTCTTCCCCAGCCTTTTCCTACTTCTTGTTTGAATGCTCTGTGACAAAGGGAGCAAAAAAGCCAAATGGACAATGGTTAACGTCTTCCACACCAGACCACCCTACACTAAATAAAGAATTTAGAGAGATGTAAAACTTTCATCAAAAGGCAAAGAAAGTTCACAACACATACAATGTCAAGAAGCCAGCTCTGATAAGTTTATCGTTTTTATGACAGCTAGCAACAAGACTGCACAAGTATTTCAGCTACAGCAGATGATCTGAGATCCACACATTACTACTCACAATACTGCAATGACGACTTCTAAGCCTAAGCTTCTGTTTTTAAAGTACAGCTTCATCCAGTACCTTGGGTGTTTGATAAAGCAAAAACCAATATTTAAATCTATCTTGTAATGAAGTGACACTAACAAATCCAGTCTTTTTTTTGCCCCCAGCCCCTTTTTTTCACCTTTTTCTTCTGTTACATGATGTATGTACTGTTTAACATCTGCACACTTCAGTAGCAATGGGCAGCTAGGGTACTCTGAGTCTAGCACAACTTGATCGAGTGGCTGGAACTTTCCTTGCTGCTGAAAATACATCAAAGGGATTATAAAAGCATTATTATAATGAAAAGACACATATACACACTACACACATATAGAAATATATATGTATGCAATGGCCATAGCTTTAAAATAAAGGATTTAAAGAAGATCGTATTTTGAATGGTAACACATGACACATTCAGAAACTGATTACAAAGCAAGCTATAAATATTTATTTCAAACCAGTAAATACCTGCAAAATGCTGAACTCTTCAATTACTGCACTTAAAAGACCAAATTTAAAACGACATGGGGAGAAACTAATGTGAAGTACAGCGGGATTTTTTGGAAGATGACATAAGACACAGTAGTCAGTGTGTGCCAATAGTGTTTTAGACCAAAACCTGTTGGATTAAACTCAGTGTCATAACTTCCATTCAAATTTTGCTTTTCATTCCATAAAGATAAATCTCAAAGGAGCAGGGCAGCTTCTGGAACACAGTATTAACCTTTCACCTCTGCAAAGTCAATTCCAGTTTGGCCAGAGTATGTATATAAAATGATTTTGGCACAACTTAAATAGCCCCACACATGACAGAACCATCAAACAAATGTTGCCGTTGCCAAACAATGCATAATCATTCAGCATGGTTTGGCACAACTGGCAGCCTTGGAAAGATCCTTTAGCGCATCAGTACAAAGACTCTGAGCTCTCTGTCCTTAGAGAGTGCATGGTCTCAGGAGCCAAAGCTGAAGTCATTATACTGGTCAGCATGAAAAAATACCCACTTGGGTATACTGCTTTCATTATTAATTAACCCTCTTGCTAGACAGTCAGAGGCTTAATAAAAGTAACCATCCATTGTTAAATCACAATAAAAACAAGCAAAAAAACCAAGTAACAACAAAAAACCAGAAAGGATTTAATTTTTTTTCCTCCTGAAAAAGAAGACACAATAACAATGGCAAAAAGGTTATGAGATGCAGAAGTAAGGCTACAATAAACTGTTTCCTACAGATAACTTACCTGCACAAACCTGCTTATGTCCCAAAGCAAGACAGCCACATTTACATTGTGCAGGGGCACAGAGCCTAAGCCAAGAAAGCCTGCTGGATAGGAGATGGGTCTGCTCAGAAGACACATTAAGCAAACCTGCATCACACTATCAAAACCAAAGGATGGTGCAAAGGATGATCCTAAGATACCCAGTGGGTACCTTGATACTCATTAGTTCAGGTCAGAAGTGATTGTGCTGCATTCAAGCTAGCCTTGCACAATGTATCTGCAACACAATCCTCAAGACTTCCCTTTGCTGAAAAATATGCTGACTTAGGCAGGGCACTGCAGGAGTGCATTTGCCCTGATTTAGGACCCAGAACAGCTCTATGCATTTATCTGGCATCATGCCTGGCCTAGAAAACCAGAAAACCTAGAAAATAATGTACAAAGAAAGTAAAGGGCAGCACAGAACTCTTCCCATGCACAGAAACAGCAGCAGTAGTTGTCTTTTACTCAGGCTACCTCAACACTCTACCACATAGACAGAGGAGATTTACTGTTTCCCTAATTTAAGTTTGGTATAAAGCTTTCAAAGGGATTCTGAATTCAAGCAGAGCACACTGCCTAGAGAATGAGCTAAACTATTCCTTGTGAAATGACTTCTTCTGGTGGGCCACCCTGAAGCAGGAACAGACCACAGAAATACAGAGTATGTTTGCACATCCTATACCATAAATAATTTAAAAATAATTACAGAACAATAGGTTACTATTACAAATGTGTAGTAGGACTTTATTTCTTCACCCTACAAAAATTGTTCTCCTGCATTCTCCACTTGCAATCTAAAGCAGAAAATAGCAAGCAACGTTATAGGAAATGCTTTTAGAGCAAAAACTCTTAGGATGCATAAAGTGAAATTATTGCCTCCATGAAACAAAAAGCAAGGATCAACATTTACACTTTATTTTATGTCCTTTTTTCCACAGGCAGATTATAAACAATAAATCAATAACTTTGCTTATGCCTTTTGATACACTTCAGAAATTTAAGTGAGGTTTTGCCACACCCATGATAAATCAATTAAGCCACTTATTAATTATCCAACTTTTGGATACTTGATCATCCCATTGCTGTTCTATGATACAACATCTCTACAAATAGTACTTCTAAAAAAGCAATGTTTCCTTTCAAGTTCAAACTGCCACACAAATATTCCTTCTTCCTCCCCCATTGCATCCAAACTCTTCTTTCTTTTTCCCTTCTTTCCCAAAGTGACTCATCTACTGATGACTCAGAAAGGCCACTAGTTTGTTTTAGCCTGATACCTCATCATTTTAAATTCAATAGTTCTGGGATAGGCTCTCACAAAAGGACAAAAGAGATTCTCTGCTTGTCTTAAAAAGGAGGTGATTAGAGTTTGTTGAGATTGCAAGCTAACTCCTGGAATATACTTTACTGACCAAAAAACTTGATGCAAACAAACATACTTCTATGGTGGATATCTCTGCTTTAAATGCAAATTTAATTTCCATTATTATGGAAGCCCCTCTGTAAAATTAACATAACTTCTGCAGAAAATTAAGTAAGAAATAAAGTTTTCTTCTGAGAATTCCAGAGAAAAAATAAAGCAGGCTTACCTCCTTGTCTGCCTTTATGAGGTAGTAGAGTACCAGAAATAAGGGGTCCATTGGTGTAACAAAAAGCAGGCGCCCATCTAAGTGATAGATATGTAAAAGTAAGTTTATTACCAAGAGGCATAATATATTGACCTTTTTTTTTTTTTTTTTTAGGATGCTTTGAAGGAGTGCGGGCAAGAAGAGGAGAATCCTTTTTTTTCAGTAAGTATCCCAATATTTCAATAAAATGGGCAGGAAAATAGTATTTGTGATTTTCTATTACAAATACAGAGAAAACTCAATTCTCAACCCTGCCAAACCAAAGCACAAGCTCCACTACAGGTCTGTTGGCTTCAAGCACTTAGTTTTGCCTTTTTCTGGACTATATTAAAACCAGAAAAATTGAAGCTGCCCTCTATTGGCAGATTTGGGTGTAACAGAAACTTGTTTGGGGATACCAGGTATATCCAGTATACTCCACCTCAAACACTGGGCAAGGCAACACTGCTGGTAGAAGAGTTAGGCAGGGCAAGAAACATTTTAAAGAGCTAGTTAAGTTAGAGCTGCCTCTCATCTTTAAGAGGACAATCCGCATGCAGTCTCCTAATAGAACAAAACAAACTTAAATAGATCAGAAAACAATATGTTGTATTCAAAGTTACACACAAAGGAAGAACTTGGTCTCCCATTGAAACAGACACCTCTGCCCATCTGGAGCTCATCGGAGAACAATGGAGGCAGGCTTTCTGTATAATTGTAGATAATTGGAAACAACATAACATCAAGGAAATTGACTAATGAGATCCAATAATTGATGATAATTTGACATTAATTAGCAAACCAAAAGCAAATAAATGTAAATTTTTTTGTTTTACATCACATGATTAAGGTAATTAAAGAAAAGGAAATCCTATTGCGATGGCCCTAAAACTAACAAAAGATAGGGTGAGAAAAATGTGGTTTGGACAAAGCTGGTACCCAGTCTAACATCTGTATTACTAAGACGATGCATGGCATGAGGCAAAGCAAGCATCAGGACTACTTACAAACATGAAAGCTTTGATAATAAAACTGGAGGGAAAAACACTAGTCACTTTCTCAAAGCTTCCATTTACATGCTTTCCACTCTACCTCCAGGAAGAAGTATCTTTATTTGTTCTAAAGAGTTCAGACTCACTATAGGTATATAAAGACCTCTGCCCTTCTCTGCTAGATAATTTGCTTTAACTGCAAACACACAGCTTTTTTTTGTGTTGTTCTTCCCCGACTGTTTCAGAGATGCAGCAGCCCTAACATTCAGGAACAATTTCCCCCCGCCTGTATCTTTTAAAGAAAACTGAGGCAATGATTCCTTAAGGCAACTGTTTCCCAAGGGCCAAAATAGAGGTTAGAAAGGGAGGGGGAGAATAAAACATGGACATAATTGGGAGCAGGGAGCAGACCCAGTCTTTTGGCTCACCCCCAGATGGAGCAAGGAAAAGCTCACAGACATACCACTTGCATTGCTATATGCACCTGCAGAGGATGTTTAAAAGTTAACACACGCTTTGGGATATTACCATTAAAGAAGGCATATGTCTGGTGGGGTTGCTTTTATTTATTACTATAAATGGTCTTTTTTCTAGTTGAAAAAGGACAAAATAAATACACCTTCATCTCCTGAATTATTATTTATTGCTTGGTCTAGACATGCTGACAGAGAAACACTACTCCAACGACATCCTTACTCATAAAGGATTGTTAAAGCTGTCACAAGCAATCACCTAAGTTTCCTCCTCATTTGCAGAAAGGCGAGCTAGGATCAGAGAATGACTGGTATGGTATAGACGAGCTCACTTCAGACAAAACACTGAAATGGCACCTTCAGACAGCAGGCCTATCCTGAGATCCCAGCACTCACACAGGGGACTATGGAGGTAATTAAAAGAAAGCAAGAACATACATTCCAATGCTTGGAGCTCTAACACACCGCTCTGCTTAGCTAGCTAAGGCCTTCCAGCCCTTTTTCCCTCCCGCAGGATAAGACATATTTTACTTACACTGAGGACTTGCTGGTCTGATTGACAAGGCAAGCTAAGTATTTTATGGCACTTCAGTTTAAATACAATTGAATGACTTTCCGCCCCCC